CAGCACCCCAAGTGGGCACGTGGCAGCCGGGCTGGAGGGTCTGGTGGCACGACATGAGCGTGAAGTGGGGAATGAGGAGCGGTTTTGGGCCGTGCTTGTTTGGACCTGCTGCTGGAGACACAATGCTTGGTGATTCACCCATTTTGTCTGAAAACTCCCTTCAAAAGGCTGATGGGGGCAAGAAAATGTAATTCGACAGCGGCACGTTTTTCTTGGGCAGAAGTGGACAGTTCCCTTCCCCTGCTCCATCTGTGGAGTAAGGGAAGGGTCCCAGCCCTTGTCCTACAGAAGCCCTCTGGACACCTCAGAAGGAGGCACCTCCCACCACCTCCCCTACGCACAGACATACACAAGAACCTCTTGGACACAGCGGTGAAGTTTCTTCAACTGACCAACACATCAACTCCTCCTGCACTGGTTGTGTCCCCTCGAGAGCGCCTGTGGTCTGTACCTTCTGATGCTGACAGCATGGCTTGCTCCCCACAATTAGCATATCAACTGGCATCTTCAATACCACCTCTAACTACTGTCGGAACAAGAGCAGAATTCACATTTCTATTTTCCATGAGCCCTGATGATACTCAGTGCCTGTAGAACACCCAACCCTGCCTACGTCTCCAGCAGCCACTCCACGGCGTGCATATGGATTTAACCTGTATGGAAGCAAAAAGCCCAAATCCCCTTGTTCCAGCGGCCGGCTGCGGTCTGCCCAGCTGCAAGGCACCTAGGGAGCTGCCGACTCAACAGCCCTGTAAGTCTGCCTGGTGCAAGAGGACCTCAAACCCCCCATTAGATGTCCCTCAAAGAAACCTGCATGGCTGAACAGCTCAAGCACTGGGAGTTGTGCCAACGAAAGCGTTTCCTTAGTGGATCCACTGGATTATTACTGTAACTCCAGAGATGGGATCTGACACACTACTGGCAAATGCTACCTAAATCTTGTAAGCACGTACTGAGTGTCATCCTTTCGAACCACATTTAGAATTTTCCCGTCCAGTTAAGTGTTTCTGAACATGATAAAGACCCTCTGAACTCAACAGCAAGCGGTGGTACCTAGCATTGTTTATGAGGTTGAGGCTAGGAGGTTGTCCCTGCATGACGGCTAGGGGCTGTGAGTTGGGAAGATAGGAAGAACTCAATGCAGCGTGGTGGTGGTGGCAGGTTGACAATTTTTGCCCCTGGTGAGCAGCAGAAGGATTCAATGTCTACAAGAGAGACCCGATGTGTGCTGCAGGAGCAGCAGCATGACTGCATGCCAGGAAACGTGCTCTAAGGGATAAATTAACACTGATCAAGATGCTCCTAAAGTTTCCTCATACAACTGTGCTCTCTCCATCTCCTGCACCTGTGATCTATGCAGGAGGTATGAAATGCTAACTTAATTTTCACTTGGAGATAAAAATTTTCACTTAGAATTCCCAAATGTGGAAAAGGTGGTGGATGCATCTCTTCAGGTAAAGACAGTGCTGGGGGACATTAGGGAGAATAAATCTGAAGTTCAGATAGTGGAAACTGACATTTTTGTCCAGCTCTTGGAATGATCGGTCGCTAGTGGCAAACCAATTCTTACAGCTCCATATTCAGATCAGCTCTGGGAAAGTTCATGTACAATGAATCCACTCCCCTCTCCCTCTATTTTGTGCAACATCATCCCTTATTTATGGTAGAAGGAACCGAACCTCTAAGGAAAGTAACCGAAAGAACATCACTTGAAATCAAGAAGATTTGGAGTATTTCCTTCTGGCCAAAAATTTTAAGTCTGGGCACAAGCTATCCACTTGCTATTGCAAATAAATTCTTTCTGCAACAGAGGTTAAATAATCCATCTCCTGTAAAAGCGAGTCGAAACTCTGGAACATGAGCCTGAAATGCATGCCTATGTCCATGGAATACACACATGCATGAGAAACATCGAGAACCTGTTCTGCAAGAGCAGCAGCTTACAGTTTAACTGCTTTTGGAAAGATTTCTCTAAGCCTATATTAAGTCCCCAAAACAACCCATTTCATTAACAACTGCTGCAAATCACATGGATCTGCTACACATTATTCCTTTAATCTCTATGGAAACCAATTTTATTCTATTGAATTTAGGTGATTATCTTCAAAAGTCTGACTCAAAAATGCAAGCGGGCACCTTGTAGGATTTTGTTAAGTGCCTAGGTGCTTAAATTCCTATTGAAATTTAGGCAACTAGCTGCTTTTTTCCAAATCCCATCACTATCAGCATCACAATGAACAAAAATACTTCTGAAGAATCTGGTGCTTTGACGTTCTGCACTCAAGTAAAAGAGAAGCAAAATGTTTTCCTTTTTGTTCTTTTCTGATCTGTTCTAAGTTTATAGAGGCATCTACATTTATCATTGTTTACAGTCACTGATTTTCCTGTCCTTAAAGTTTGTTTTTAATACATAGGAAGAGCTGATAGTGGCAATTCTTTAACTCTTAAAGCTGAAAGTACATCCTTTAATGAAGGCTTTAGGACAAAGAATGTATGTTTCTCTTCAGTCTTGATGAAAATAGGTCCATCTACAGCTCACCAAAATTCTCATAGGTTACCTCAACACTAGCTCTAGCAGCTATCTGCACAAACTGTACCCTAGTTTAAAACGGTTTCTGTTCCTGTAGGACAGCACTCTTGTGACGTGCGGCTGCAGGCAGAGTGTTCTGGGAAATGCAAATGCTTTCTCCAATCGGCACCTTATTCACTTCTTTTCATTACAAAAAAACCAACAACAGAGCAATTTCAGCAAGAATGTACTCTATCGCAATGCACACTGAAGCGATTCTGCAATGGTGAGAAGCTGTCCATGCTCAAAAGCTCTGCTCCCTACTTACACCGTTCCCTGTCCTAGCTGGTTAATTTGTACCCGACGAGCTCTCTCTTCAGCAGCCGGGAGTCTGCACATTTTGTTTTTATGTTGGTCACGGCTGGGATTTGGTGGACTAATGTTAATGCTGGTAAGTATCAATTCCAATAAAGGAACACAGAGGGAGAGTATCTACACTTCCAATGATTATGGTACTCTTAAGAATAATAATAATGAATAAAGTGTGAAGATTCACATTCACGAGTGCTCTAAAAATGCAAAAAATCCAAGAACACTTGCACATTAAAATTTGGCACAGTGTGAGCCTAAAGCGTGCGTAAAGCGTATGGTAGAGTTGTCTGACTTTAAACACCTATTCTGAACAAACATTGATTAAAAATCATAAATTTGAGTATAAAAACTAGGCTATAAATTGTTACACTGTAAATGCAACACTTTGAAAACAAATGCCACATGGAAAACATTTCAAGAAGTTTCAAGTTTGCATTTAATATTAAAAAAACAAAAGGAATAGCAAACTACTTGTACAATGACATTTCCTATGGTGGAATGTCTTGCAGGCCATATGTGACTCGATATGGCACCTTTAAAAAAAAAAAAATGAAATCACTGTTTTACTACAAATTTTATGAAGCAATCCATTTACGGTTTTTAGTATTTCAAATCTGCTCCTGTACTTTGCTCTGAAGGCATTTGAGCTGGCAAATATATTTCATCAGGAAAGAAGTAAAGGCACTCATGTTTCCAAATGTAAAACTCAACTTACTCTAAGAGTCTTTGCATTTCTGAAGGGAAACTAAGCGGTCATATTAGTTACCCCAATCTAGTTTCACCTCCTTTCCAGAGCTCAACTGTGCTTCTTGAGAACTACTTGACTTTTCAAAGCAAAGAAATTTAAAGTAGTACTGTACAGTTCCCATAACTTGAAAAAAAGCAAAAGTATTGCGTGAAAAACTTCTCTCAGCAGAACTGTTTTATGCACAAAAGCCATTAGGTATGGCCACTACAGTCACAAGAGGGAGCAAAAAGGATCACAATAACTTAGAAAGTTAATCTAAGTTCATAGGTACGAGCATCTCAACACTTCTGAGAAATCTTTGCAGTTAGCTATACAAGATAAATAACCCAATGCTCTCTCTAGAAGAGAGTCCAATGGGTCTATTGGGTAGTTTTCCAAATAGCCAACATCATTACATTTAAAAAAAAATAAATTACTGATTTCTTCCTCAAAAGGTTTTCACATGCAGAGTCTGCAGTCTGAAAGTGCAGAAAAGTGTACAATCATTTAGCTTTCCAATCTGGAACAGACAGATAAAGCGAAAAAACCAACATGCGAAGTCACAGCGAAGTATCAGGAAAAGGGAAGAAGAGAAAAAACTACCTTTAGTAGCGTACTGGTCCATGATTTTGTCAATGAAAAGTGTTAAGATATGACTGATAGCATTTTTTAAAACTATTCTGCAATCACCAATGGAAAAAAATCCTATATAAACTTCTACAATCCAATGGAACATTAAAAATAAACCTATCCAGTTAGTTTTGAATGTACGTAACAGAAATAAAGGTCACCCTCCTCGAAGTAACATGAAAGGTCCAAACCAACAGACAAAAGTTGAAGCAGTGACAACTTGCATCCTACTGGGTAAGTTTAAGCATCTCTTTAGGCACTTCACTGGTTCATTAAATGCAATACAAAATAAAGCTATAAATATCAACATTTTGTGCTCTTAAAAATTAGTCAAAAGCAACAGAAACCAGCACAAAAGTGTGACATTTTTGGCAGCTTATTTCTTCCCTTCCCCAATATTACTGGTTGTCCAAGAATGCTTTGTTTTGGGGATGCTTTGGCATCTCAGTATCAGGTTGTCTTAAGCCGTAAAAGCTAAAACAAAACTGCTAGGCCTTAGACAATAAAGAAATTTGGTTTTAAAATTTCTTTATGGCTATATAAGAAGGACACTTTAGCAGTGGCATGATAGGGAAAAAAGCTTGCTTTCTTTTTAAATATTGCACTTTTCTTTTGTTCACTCACACTAATGCATAGAAACTTTTTAAACTTTGAATAGTAAAATTCCATGCTATGAAAAAGTTATGGGAAATCAATTTCTATACATCCAATATGAAAGAACAGATATGCTAGCCTTCCTTTACTTTCCTTAGTTAAAACATTGAGAAAGAAGAGAGTGCAAAAAAACCCACAACCCTATTTTTGGTCAGCCTGTGTATTAACTTTATAGGTGCCAACTAAACAAATTGCAACATGTGATGAGCATGGATATTGTAAGGACAACTGAGGGTGACTGTCAGTAAAACAAGAATATGCATGACTGAAACACAGTAAGTGTGGCTGAAATGGCAAATTGTGAGGCCTCTTCTCTTGGGAAGGGGCACGACAAAGCAGATGAATTTCGCACTTCAGTAGCATGCTGTAGGATTTATCATGATTCATTTCACATTAAAGCGTGCTCAATGTTTGCATCCACATCTCGCATCACCTTCAATTGCTGTAGTAAGACAGTGACTGGCAAGCAGTCTCCAGGAGACACAGAAGAATCCAGTGGGCAATTCAATGCAACGCAGCCCGCGCGTCTCTGTCACGAGTCACGACGTGGTGGTACGTTCTCAGGACAGGCAGAACCGATCTTCTGCTGGACTCCACAAATCTGAAAAATGATTGCTTGGAAAAAGAAGTCTCTAAGCACTTCACTCCGGTGCTTAAAGAACAAAGCGCTAGGATTGGATATAATAAAAACAGTTTTGGGATCCTGACCACTGTGCAGAAATCCATCCGGAAACAATGCAGAGTAGTGCTCCTCAGTGTTACTTTTGTTATCATTAGTAATGTTAAGCATCAAGAAAATAAAACACGTCATTGCACATTACAGCCGTCAAGAAGCACGGCTAAACTTTGACACTAGAGAATTGAATAACCTGATGCTACATCACAAACAGCTTCTGGTGTGTATCTATTTCAAAAGGTCTTTACATACTCAGTAAAAACTCCTTTACTCCTGCCCAGCAAACGCTTCAGGTTAAGTGACGAGTTATGGCACGAAGGGCATACAGAAGTTCGGCTTGCATACGAGCTTCCATTAGAAGTAGATTGACATGAACCTGTTAAAAATTCAATCAGCCATTTAGTTCACCTCTGAATACAACACCATGGCATTTAGGCTAAAATTTCTAACCTTTAGTAAAGTATCGCTGCAAGAAACTATCTCCTTTCTCCCTGTACCCTGCTGCAGGACTCCAGTTCCTCTTGAGACAGCTGTGTAGTGTGCCAATACTAGACAACATCCCAGGACTGCAAGGAACTAGCCTCAACTGCTGCCTTAAGCAATCTTCCATCTGAGAAGTCCCAATAAAGCCATTTTTGTATCCTAAGGGTACTAATTCTTTATGAATTATATTTTGTTTTCTTTATTACCACCTTTGACCACTACATAGGAGCACAGACTAAGGAATAGTTTACGTGCCACATACGCTAGCAGGCACACAAGCACTGAACCCTTGTTAGGAAGCATTTAACTTGGATATCTGAAGACATGTTGACATTTTTATTGATGAAAAACAGCATGAAGATTGTGTATATATATATGCATTAAGGTCTTTTTTGATCCCCAAATCCCAAGTATTGGCATAGCCGACCACTTCTGCATTCCCAAGTTTATCCACTTCTCTTTTACAGTTGTCATTTCAATTTTATGGACAAGTCACTCAATAATAATAAAATCAGTATTTCCAGTACTTAGAAGTACTTTTGTAAAATTGGTATCTAACACTCACAATGAATTAATCTCATTTATTTCTCTCTGGTTAAAAACAGTTTTAGGTGTCACCATATTTTCATTTTTAAACAGCATGGGGGTCTCTGTGAAGCCAGTTTGGCTTTGAAATACGTACCTTCTCCGAGTGCTTGAACTGACGCCAGTAACTATCGTACATGCGCTTGGTAGTTCTCTCTGGGTAGCAGGTCACTGTCTTTATGTAAACCTTCAGGCTGCGTTCAAGTAACTGATTAACTTCTCCATAATCATAGTCATCATACCTAAATGACACAGGCAATCACTCTGTTGGACGTAAGTTTTTAAAAGCATGGTCTTTTGCAGCTTTATGTTCTCAAATTTGGGAATTGGAGCATTTATTACACATGCTAGAAAACCACCTGCTAACAGAGGATCTGAAAGGCTTAGTACTAGGATGTTGTCTTTCCCGAACAAAGGATACAGGCTGGCTTCAGGGAAGATATTTCTGTAATAATTTCCATCCTGATTCATAATAATTTTCTCCACTGGAAGCAAAAGTTATACTGATATGCCAGCAAAACCACTCTAACTTCCAGACTGAGGTACCATCTCCACTTTAACACCCGGAGTCTAAAATCATGCTTTTCACATGGTTCATTTTTCGTTCTGTTTACACGGTTTAAAATGCACTCCCCTAAACCAGCGGATTTTCATCCATACCTGATTCCATACATACAGTGGACATAGTTAAATAAAGCTCTTCTTAGCGTAGTTGTATCAACATCTTCATGCGTTGCCATAGTGTTATACGTGAGGTTATACACCATCCGAAACTTCTCATCAAGGAGATGCCCAATATCGGAATAAAGCCTGTTTACAAGGGAAAAGCCATGATTTTCCCAAGTATAGTCCTGCAGGAAGAGAAGGAAATATATAAATGTACAAGTGAAGTGAAGTCCCTACCTCATCCTCTCTACAGCTCAATAGTTGTTGTCTGCTAGTTATAACTTTATTCTCTTCCAAAAATTTGCATTTTGAATCCTTCATCCATATCACCTGCTCCACTGCCCCAGGCTTCCTGGCAAGGAATATTGTATCGCAACACCCCATCTCCAGCTGAATATCATTAACCTACAGGAGAAAAAAAACCCCCAAACTTCTCTTGAAGTGTCGAGGCAATTTTCCACTGTCTGCTGTGCCACTCTGACCAGTGTCATTGTACATGAGATGGGGCTGTAAGTTTAAAAACTTATTCCACTTGGAGGCTTTGATGCTTAGCTCTGGGCAGAGATAGAGTATTTACTTCCAGCCAGGACGTACAATCATAGGGTAAAGTGCTGAACCATCCTTGAACAAACTAATAAAATCCAGGCTGCTTTGGTCTTAGACAAGCACCTAGATTGCAAGGATAAACGCTTGCCTGCTCACATCAGGAGTGGGAAATCTTTGCAGAGTGGTGGCACGGCATCAGCAGCAGAGAACGACCCTGCTTCAGAGCAGTGTGCAACCACTCTCCACGCTGCAGTTATACAGAACATGTTAGTTTGCCCACATCCTTGGCAAGTGTTCAATCGTTCAGTCACTGATGCCTTCTTTGCAATCGAGGGCATCATCTTGGCATCCATCCTGTGTCTGGCTGTTTTCAAAAGGTATTGCTGGGAAAGGGTCCTCTCCCTGGCACTTTAGAGCACGTCTCCTGGACTGGCCCCCTGATTAGGCTAGTGGGGAAGAGCACGTAGGACAATATTCAGCTGCCTAACGGAGGCATTCAGTGACATCTGAAACATGCCACAACATCACATTTGACCTCCAGCTGCCAGTCCAAAAGACCGTAAGGCTCGTGAGACATGTGCCGTACCTACCAGCCCTGTAAAGGTGTCCAGGACACTTGGGGCATCACAAAAGCCTTTGAAAACCAGAAGCCCCAGGAGGGGGCAAGTGCTGTTTGCTAACAGCAGTTGATCCATACTAACAATGAAAAAGGAAAAAAAAAAGTTTTAAAGACATTCTGCTATGTATGGAATACCCTTTTCTATTACTAGATTTAAACCCACAGAGATAAAGGCAGTCTTGTTTCATCAGAATAAGGATTAGATTTATTGCAGGGTTTTGAGATGCTACTGCAATATAAATAGCACTAATAGCAGAGCATTTGGGAGGCTGTGGATATATACATCTAACTGCTTAAGAGTAGGACGTACTAATAAAGTTAAATTATCAAGGTGACTCTGAATGTAGGCCAGAAGCTGCCCTGTTTATTTAAGAGCAGAGATGTTTCAGCTCCAATTTAAACTTCTGTAGAGCTTTTTTCCATGGGAGCCTGCTGCTCCTAAAGTAGTTAAGCAGAATGTTGGATTTACAGGCACTGACTCTGCCTTATTCTTTTTGGCAATATCTACCCACTTTAGGCTCATATAAAGACCGCAGAGTAAATTACCCAGATCAGCAGAGACTGCTATATAGCTAAATATATTTCCTGACAGTGATCATGGATTCTTTATTTTACAGACTTAGATATATCTTCTGACCATGGAGTTTCCCTGCATCCACTGTTTTTTTTAATTGAAGTTTTCTGATTTGGTTTAAGATTTCTTCCATTGCTTACAATTTTTTACTAGACTGCTGATTAATCTACTCTATAAGCTGGAACTGAACCACCTAGAATGTCCCTCCTGTTACATATATTATGAAGTTCATGGGTCTGGTCATGGAAAAAGATGCCAATATGTAAGACAATGTACAGGCAAAATGTACACGCTGTTCATTCAACAGCACTAAAAAAAATAAAATTCAAACATAGCCAAAAACTTCCGTAGTCAAATTTAGGAACTCCTTTTCTTTCCTGACATTCAAAGTCCACTGATTTGGTGCATGTATGAGAATGATACTCACCAAATCGCTCTCATAAACATATATACGTCTAGGAATTTATAACCACTGGGCAGAGAATACTTGATAAAATGACAGGAATAAAGGGTTCTTCCAGTGGATTTTTTTTTTTTTCTACATCATCTGGAGGGATGGGAAAGAAATTATTTTCTTTCTTTTCTACCTTTCACTTTTATTCCAGATTTAGTGATATGCTTTACAATTTTCGAACATTAATTCTGGTAATAATTACAGTAAGACTGAAAGCTAAGTATTCTCTTGTCTGAGATTTACAAATAGTAAAAGACTTATCTCAGGTAGATTTACGGAAGCTTGTGAGTTATTTAATGGACCAGGACAAGAACAGGAGAATGCAACAAACGTGCCCCACTACAACCTCTTTGCACTATTATTTGCCCTGTAACGAGATATACAAACATCCTTTGAGTGAATGTACTTTAACGAGATGGTACCTGAGCTCGGAATGTTGGCAGATGGTCTTCTCCTCTCCTTGCAAAGTCTTTGTACCCAAACCCAGGATCTTCAATATAGCGGGAGACATCTGTAGAAACTATTTCATCATCAAATGCTGTGAATAAAACAGCAAAATGCTTTGCTTTAGGCAAGCACGTGAGTTAGCGCTAACTTCCAGCTACCACTCTACTACAGGACTAGAGAACCATTTTAAAAGCTGTGCAAAGGAAGAGAGTGGTACAAAGGAAAGAAATGTTTCAATCTCAATGTCTGGGATCCATCCCTTTCATCGAGCCAAATAAATGTCAGTCTACACCAGGCATCTAACGTACTTCTACAAAATGGGAAGAGGTGGGCTAAACTTCTGCCTGGAGGTGTGCTTTTGTCTCTGTTGACTTCTGAGGGAGGCTAGGTATCTTAAATCAGGAAGGTGAATCCTATTAGTGCAGTCATTGTGCTAGGATAAGAAACAGAAAACTGTACCCTTGACAACAGGATTGCTGTGCTGAGCAGGTATGGTGTCAGGAATTGCACCAGCTCTGTTCTATAGCCCCGAGCATGAGCAACCAGAAAGCAATGCGACACTCCACTTGTAAATATCAGTTGAAGATTATATGAAAGCAAAGAGCTTTACAGTACATCAGGCTGAAATTCTGCCAGAAGCTCTAGTAACTAAGCATCTTCAAAGAGCTCCAAAACATGTCACTAAGCAAGCACAGGTTCTCTACCTGGAATCAATCTTTCCCTCCCGAATAAACAGGTGGTTTGATTGTGTAACTACCTCTGCAGAAGTTGACTACTGCATAGCTGACTGCATTTGACCCTGATGTTAAAATCCTGGCTCACTTCCACATGCATTGACAGAACAGTTGCCATATGTCCACTGTTAGCACCTTGAAAAGTCAGTTAATCTAAGAATTGCAGAAGTGCTTTATCTCCTCTTTGCCTCATTAGACAATCAAAACATAACTGCGTAGGAAGAAGCTCTCACAGCATCTGCTACAGCAAATCCTCAGCGAAGAATAAAAACCTGCACACATGCACTCCCCTCCCCTGACAAGGACTGAATTTCATGAAAGCGTAAAGGCCCAACACATACAGACTCCTCAACTCCAAATAGCAAAAGGTAAAGAGGGAGGAAAGTCAACAAAATTCTCAGCATCCTCATCAAAAACCCCTTCTGTTCCAAACGACACCTCTTCCTTAAACACCTGAAGTTGCAGAGAGACCCATGGAAATCCCAATTTGATAATGAAACCGCAATGGGTGTCACTTTATCTGCACTGTTGATACTGTCTGACCAAAGAAAAACAGGAGGAGAATGGACAAGGTCCATTGCTAAAAATTCAGAAATGACGTTGCTGGATGTATCTTCTTTCAGAGATTTTGCATGTTCCTACAGAGTCACAAAGCAATCTCTCTGCTGATCCACAGTATGTTCTTCCTCCCTTTTGGGCTCAGTGCACAAAATCTTAGATACCTTCAAACAGAGATCTAAATTCACAAAAATCAGTGTCAGTAAAATGTGAAGTATTTTATGGGTCACTTAAAAAACCACAAGATTCCATCTTCAAGTAGCCTCTACTATGAGGATATGGTTGCAGATTCTGATTATCTTAATAGTATTATTTCTTCAAACACTTTCTTTCGAAAAAAAACTCTTGCTGTCTATAGGAAACAGACTTTGTTGTATGGTGTGTTAGAGATGAAGGCCTTCAGAGCATATGAAAGATACTGGAAAAGAAGGTTTCAGCTCAGAATTTTGAACTCTATTTAAGAATAAAACAAAGGCTAAGAAATCTCTGTCACAACACAGGCAGTGGAACAGCACAGCAGAATGATCACCCAAAAAAGCAAGTTAGAGATGTCCTTTCCAGGTGGGAAGCTATTCAAATGATAAAAAACTGAGTCTCATCCCAGTCTATTTCCTGAACTAAATGCCTAGCTGAAGGCTACTTACGAGTGTCACTGAAGTTCTAAGCATTGTAGAACCTAAACCTGTGAAATATTACTGAGTATTTACATGAATTAATTAATTTGAAGGTATAGAGCATATAAAGAAAGAGAAATTTACACCCAACTTTTTAAAGAATTCTACAGGGATTTTTTTTAATATATAAAAGCTAAATTTCCAGTAGTAACAAGGATAGTGTTATTTGCCAATCAAGAAATATTAAGCAGATGATTAACCAAGTGACAGGACCACCCTTACTACACTCCTACTAGACCAAGAGCCAGAATAAAGAAATGGACAGAAAAAGTTGTAGGCATTGAACCGGCCTCAAGTGTTTAGTTCTTACAAAGCACAAACAAAATGGAACTGGAAAAGCACAAATACCTCCACTAATTACTAGCAGACTCTCCTTCTTCTCCTTTTCAAAGCGAGTTGCCATTTCTTCCTGAGAGGCTTCTTCATCCTCTTTATCTTCTTGTAGCCTCTTCATCCTTTCCATTAAGGCCTCCAGCTCACTTAAAGAATCTGCAATCTGCAAAAACACCATGACATTCTGCAAAATTAGAAGATAGACAACGTGTGTCATCTTCAGATTTCATGCTCGACAATAAACGTTCTCAAAAAACAGATAGCAGCAGCAGCAAACATGAAAACTCATACCAGAACACATTTTGTCCCACACAGCGCAGACAAACAGCTTTCAGATAGCTGCGGAGAAGGGAGCAGGGAAGAGTTACTCTAACCTATGGCAGCAATCTGCTGCAGTGGGATTAGCGGTGGAAGAGGTAGTGTTTGAATGTGGAAACCATGGTTGCTTACAGTATATATTCCATCATGCAGATGGCTCATGAAAAGCCATCTGTGCGCCCTACATGTATCAGAAAACAACTTTTAATATTAACGTAATTTATCTCACTCTATTGGTAATGCAGAATATGTTTCTGAAGAGATAGAGTGCAATACAACCTGAGACAGCAAATCAGTGTTTTCTTTTTCTTTTCATTATTTTTCATTACCCATTACCCAAAATAACCATAAAGTTGACCCGTTTTCTTGGCTTTGTTGAGGAAAACAGGTGTCTCAACTAGAAATATATCAAAGTTTGGGGTTCTGTGATCTGCACTTAGAATTCAAATTTTTCATAGGATAAACTGTTCCTTCTTTCCCATCTTTTTGTTTTAATTCTGATCTTCTGCCCAGTGTTTTCTAGTACGCTACTCACTGCTTAACAAGCAGTGCACAGTCAGCAGCAGCCCTTTGCCCACTACAAATGTAGAATAAGAAGCCCTGGTGATTTGAGCTAGCATGTCTTACAGCCCAGAAACTTAAGATACAGCAACTGAACTGACTGATCACATGCCCCCATTGCACTGCTGATTTAAATAATATATCTAGTGACTCTGCTCATAATCCTGATCTTCCATCAAAGGCGATGAGGCTATTCAGCAACTGGCATTAATTCAAGGACAAAGCATCTCAGAGTCACTTTCAGAAAAAAATCCTCGTTTAAGTTAATTAACTAGTAATCAAAGTTCTCTGTTGGTTGATTCAAGACTGGAACACCACCATAAAGACTGAAGTAATTTTATTTCAGACATTTCCTCCCATCTACATGGAAGTGTTTCAGAATTGACCTGTTTTGTGATCGTAGGTCTTGAAATCAAAATTATTATGATCTCTGCTTTTCCCATTTCTTATTTTTATCTTTTTCTTTTCTTTTTTTTTTTCCTCCTTTTTTCTCCTTTTTCTCCTCCCCCCCCGGCCCCGCACCGCCCCATATCAGGAACATGCATGAACAGAATGCTCCAGTCGGCGACACACTATCTGAACTGAGACTTTAAGTTTTCAACTGAAAGCAAACTTTGTCTTGCCCAGTGGGTTGTGACATGAACTATCATAATCACATTACTCTGACTACAATCTGCCCTTCCAATGTGGTTTTCAATCGATTACACTGTAAACTGCTAGAGCTAACCTAAGAGTTACCAGACCCAAGCATTAAAGTAGACAAAAACTTTCAAACTACCTGGAAATTTAAACAGGAAAGAGCAGAACAAAGTTTTCTAACACAAAACAGAGGCAAGCAAAAGAATCTTCTTGCAACACTAACCCCAAAGTTGCTACTTGTGAGGGATGCATTTTCTATGTTGTTGTCATTGGCAAGATCACAGACACAGAAGTTGTTGACTGCTATAAGTCTGACTCCATTAGATGTATCCGGATCTCTCTCTGGATTAATGCCACTACCAAATACAAAACTTGCCAAGGCATGATAATGTGCCAACAGGACAACAGCATGCACCAGTTCAGGAAGAGACCAATTATTTTCCCCAGTCTTGACAAGTTTCTGAAATGAGAATAAAAAAAGGGTAAACATAAAATTTCTTTTGGCCCCCAGCTTTTCTATAAAACACTACACATTTTAAAAAGAGATCAATTCCTTTCTTCCAGTAATACCATATTCCTCTTGCACACAAACTCTCACTAGATTAAAAAAAAAAAGAGACACCTAATATACCACCTCTTTTCTTTTGGGGTTATTTTAGCCAGTGCTATTCCTAAAAAATAAATCTTGCTGGCCTTGTCACAGAGAGGAATTTATTGGCTTATCTGAAGCTCTAGTACTTCCCTAAATTCTTTAACTCAAGGTTAGGAAGCCTAACCAGACTCCTGCGTAGTTCTTAGCAGTTCTTATTACCGGACGCTTAGTGCTATTACAGGGCACGGCTTAACAGGTACCTGAATGTGCTCTTTCGTGATTAGCCAGGGCCGGTGTGCAAGGAGCTTGTTTATTTCATTCAGATTTTTCAGTCTTTGGGGAATGTATTCTAAACCATTCAACCATTCTGCAATCCCGCCAGTCTTCAAAAACTCATCAACGTGCATATTTATTAGGTAGGAACACTGATGTCTGGCAGCAGCCTGGAATATTTAAACACAGAGGGGAAAGGGCAGCATGTTAGCATGTAATCTGATTTTGCTGTAGGTGGAAGACAGGTTACTAACACACAAAAAAATACAATTTTGTTCCAAAGGGCCATGTTTTATTTTGCAAAGCATTTCAATACAGTATGGAGGTTTCTCCAATAAAAATAAGTTTGATTACTTTACTCTGAATCACAGAATCTAATGTAGGTGGGAAGAACTCTATAGAGGAGATCTGGTCCAACCCTCTGCTCACAGTCAGGCTGACTTAGATCAGGTTGCTCGGAGCCTTCTTCAGACAAGATCTCCATCCTTGGAGAACACACAACCTCTCTTGGGCCCTGTTGCATTGTCTGAACATCCTCACGGTAAAAACTGTTTTCCTAGTGTCCACCTGGAATTTGTTGTGGCTTCAGTCCACTGCATCTCATCCTACTGCTGTGCACTGATGGTTAAATATCCAGAAATAAGGTTACGCAGTTTTAACTGCTCTCTGTAAAACCTCACTCTCGTGGGCATGTGAGACGCGTATCGCTGTGGGAAACAGGGAAACGTGTATGTTGCCAATTCCCCCTTCTGCTGAAAACCTTTTGGCTAGACATACTTTATTCTGATGAAAATCAACTACAAAAATTAGCCCCCTGACAAAGTTTTTTTTTTTTAAATACCAAAATGAAGGTTGCAAGAGAAAATATATTCTCTGTTGTTACATACCATTATAGCAATGTAGTGCCTATAGGGCAAAGGAAGGGGCCCATCCATGCGTAACATATAGAACTGGCTGCGGAGGAAAGACTCCAGGTACTGAGTATGGATACTCATGACCTGCGTGATGTTGTCCAGGCGACCAGACGTAGAGTATTCTTCCACAAGAAGATTAGTACGTTCATCCAAACCATTTGCTTGCATAACCTTAAAAATAAGATGGACAAACTTAACAGAGGAAGCAATTTTCTCCAGCTTTAGCCCTGGAGAGAAACATATCATGGTATGAAAGGTTTGCTTGTGCACAAACTTAAAGGCAATGCTGGAGATCCGGATGTATATTTGTAAATATACATGCTTGCATGCGTGTGAATATGCACATACAGATGCTACTTGTATACTGAGAACTGAAGAGCACTTTACAGTTTAGGTCTGTTATTTTAATGTATTTCTACAAAAACCAAAAACCTTTTTCTGTAGATCTTTCCAAAACAGCTAAACTCGCAGATGCTTAAAGTCAAATCTGTCCAGAGAGCTGGAAGTAAGCAAGAACTAACTGGAAAGTAAAGTCTTTATGGAAGTCAGCCTGTATAGACACACACCACCTGAGCATTCAGCCCTAAAACCAATTTCAAAATTAATGGAGAGGAACTGGGTTATGTAACCAAATTATAGAAACAGCCTGGCAATCTACCCCTTCTGTGCTTGTATAATTGAAGAGAAGATCAAATGCTAATTTGTCCATAACATTCAAGTATTATTTAGAATAGGAATTTAATGCTTTCTTTAAACAAAAGCTGTTCTTTAATTATTCCAACCAATACAAACCTTGGGCACAAGATGAAATGAAACAGCAAAAGAGTAAGTAGCTCTCGCGTTGCAAGCCCTGACACAGTATTAGTGCTATTACTCAGTGTTTATCACCAAGAACAGCCATTCTCAACATGTTCACCACTGAAGTTCAAGCACAAGACTAGAATACCCAGTATTTGTTCTGAAACTGCACAGTATTAAACCAGCCAGCTTACTGTTGCAGACATCAATAAATGAGAAAACGTTTTAGCTGGTTTACTGTACATGAAGATAGAAAGTGCCTAAAACCAAGACAACACAATGCTTTTGCTGAAATATTCTATTTAAAACACGTTTTCCTTCTTTGTGATGGCCCGATGAATGGACCATGTCTCGAATATTTTTCCATCGAATCTTATATAGAAGTCACATACAAAGAAACACGAACAACATACTACATTTTCATTTCTCACCACTGTGCTTCCCTGTTTTAATTTGTGGGCCCAGAAAGAAAGGGGAGAAGCAACTACGCAGTTAGGCAGCTCCATCATTTTTACATGTGTAGCTCTTCACTATGACAGCTTTTCTGTATTTTGTACCCAAAATGATGCCTCCTCCATTTTCCTTAAGAATGTTTTTACCATTGGAAGTTTATTCACATGTTAGAGATCATTTTATCTCACTTATTATGATATATCCCTCGCTCCACTCCAAGGAGTCCCCCTTATTCTTCAGCAAATGTATCTCCCATGTATTTAGAGATCTTTGTCTCATTTAGAACTTTCTTGGGGAAATCATACTTTTCCTGTCTCTGGTGAGGTTTCTAATCTTCTCCAGCTTGTCAGGACTTTTCCTTGTAGCAGTAAAAGTTATGGAGAAGAAATTGTGCTGACAAAATTGAAATATAATCCTGCAGGACCGCACTGTTGCTATGTTAGGCATAGCAATATGCAGCATTATTGCTTCTGAGATTTATCTCCACCTATATTACTATCCTCTTCATACTGTATATGTACTTCCTCCTGATTTATTACCATCCATGGATTCACAAACATGTTTTTTTATTCTGCTTATAAAGCCTTACGGCAATTTAACAGGAACCTTTACAATTAAGTTGTTATTGCTCTGACCATATTCCTTCCATTACGACAATAAAGCAGGCTTTGACACGAGTACTGTTATTATCAAGATTTGTGAGACATTCAATGTGTTACTAATCTCTAACTACATCCTTCCTATCCGCTGTATTATTTCATGCCAAGGAACGGGGGAGAAAGGTAGTCATTTGCTAAACAAACAATATTTAACATTTGTTTGCGATACTGAATAGCTGTTTTATCCATACAGGTGGAAGTTCCCTTCTGCTGGGGAACCGCTGGGTTTACTCCTTTCTGAGAGCTACTCAAGTGATTCCTCCTGCACTTCTGGCTAGCACCTTTACTAAGTGCATCGGCTGTGAAATAAAGCCATTAACAATTCTCTCAAAACACATCATCATTTTAACTACATTTATTTTTTCTATTTTTTGTAAAATTATAGACTTTAGGAGAAAAATTAAGTCATTATGAAGTTTGGCATCTCAATTTCATCTCTTATTTCATACAAAAGGGAAGTGCTCTTCACAAGTTTGGCTGGCTGGAACTCATTCTGCTGCCCTCTTCCCAAGTCTAAAACACTCTTGCTTCATTATGTTTTCTTGTTGCCAGGCTTTACGCTTTCTTTGTTTGTTTTTAGATTCAAACCTTGCCAGTGTATAAATGGAGAGAGACTCAGAGAACAGCAGCTATCTCGTGTTTCAAAATACCTTTTTGGCCCTTCAAGCATGCAAATTATCTGCCTTTAGCCACTACTTAAAACAAAACAAAAAAAAGGTCCTAGTTCTATAGTTGGCCATGCCAAATAATTAATTGATCAATAAATAATACTCTGTGAAGATTGAGATCACAAGAGAATACCACCATAGCAGTGTTTCTACTTAACTGCAGCAAGTTGCAAATCAAGGCTTAAGCTGAACATTAAATCATGGGCAGAAATCTTGAGTTTGAAGTCAAACCATACCTGTCAACTATAAATTCTCTCAAGAGCCACAGTTACAGTCTAAGGAGTTAGTCATATTTCCAGGTTCTCTCAAACTGAAGGTCAGACACTGCCCTGAGCGCTATGTAATCACATTGCTGCAACACTGCATAGGTCTCCCCTTAGGCCTGGCATTAAGAGCAGTAAGTGGTCATCCCCCAAGAGCACAGCAGAGCCAGCACTCATGGCCATCTCCAGGGGTGCTGGCAACTGAAAAGATGTCAAACAGCATCACTTGTGTGACAGGGCAGGGAGGTTCTTACCCGCTGGAGCCTGCTCTGCAGGAATCACCGCTTTTCCTCGCAAAGGGGCTCAGCTGGGTACCACTGGGTAAGCAGGACTGTAAAACCGTCCTTCAGTATTTCCACTTTAAAAGCTACCACCCGCCCAGCCCAGCTAACTGCAAACTTACTTCGTTCTCTGGTATAAAGGCACTTGGTCCTCTTGTCAACGGCGGGGAGACTTGTACTCTTTTCTCCTGCAAAACAGTCACGTAATTCGTCAGCATCACGAATAACGTATTAACTTGCTTTATCTCGTAAGGTGAGATCTTCAAGGCCTGGATTCAGTTCTCATCCCAAGGCCACCTGGGTGTTTTACAGCCCGCTGAGGAGGTGAAGCCATCACACCACATTGGTTAGATCAGCTTTGCATCCCCTGTACTTTGTGCGAATGAACGGCACTGATTTTGGCAAGGGGTAAGACAGAAAAAAAACCCAAAAATATAATCCCAATTGGTTTATAGACCAGCCAGAAGATACATAAACAGCAATACAACATTTGGTAGGATGCTAAAATTAGCCATTTACTGGATTGAATGGAAGTTTGCAAAGCAGAGGGGGGAAAAAAGCCACACTCAGGAAATTATAAGACACTGTTTTCTTCAATATCAGCATCTAATGAGATTCTCAGCATTGAGAACAGCGTAAGCACTTTGTGTAACAAATACTGGCATGAAAAGCCCAGTCCACGTTAACCAGCAAGACCCATTAAACACTTGTTCTAGAAACCCAAGGAAACTGCCGCCAGGCTCAGCTGCCAAGCCCAGAGGAGACCATCACAGAAGATACAAGCTTTGGTGCACAAATCTCAGCTAGAAGTCATGAAATGCCCTTTGAGGACGATATATGTAGTAGAGAACAGGCTGAGCGCGTAACAAGAGCCAGAGGACTTTTTGTATTTATTTATCAGGGATAAGAAATTGAACTAAGATAAACTGTGGAGGCTTTCACAGCGTAGCCACTGACAGCCAGAGGGGTGAAGGGGACCTGGGGAGACTGCCAGCTCCTCTGGTTCACCAGGGGCAGGACCGGTACTGTCCATGTCATTCCTGACCAACGTTGGTCCAACCTCCTCTTAAAGATGCTCCTGGATGTTCCGCTGACTCCTTGGGTCATTTATTTCAGTGATGAACTCCTCAGATTGCTAGAAAGTTTTCCTAATGTCTAAGCTGAATTTCCCTTGCAGTAATTTAAAGCTGTTGCTTCTTGTCTTTTCTTTTTTTCCTCTTTATGGTTATATTCCACCTCTCTGGAAACTATGGCTGCACACTTTCTCAAGTCCCTAACTGCACCACAGTGTTGGTGACTCTTAATAAGTTATCCATCAACAGCAGTATCAGATTTGCATACTAAATATTTTGTGTGCCTAACATAAAAGTCCGAGGTTTTCCATAACAAACGACTGTCAAATACTTCTACCAGGGGGGGTTAAGCTTAACCGCCATATGTATGAGCAGCGCTGTTCCCAGAAGGAGCGTGTCACCAATTTCCACACAGGAAAATGAAGCCACTGGAGCTGCATAACTATAGTCCTGTTGCTTAAAGACATCCTGTCCTTTCTAAATTAATTATGAAAAAAACATGCAAAAATCAGCAGTGATTATTCAGGAAAGATGTTCCAAAGCAAATTCTCACAGCACAATTAAATTGGTGACTTTGGAATGATTAGTTGTTACATGATGCAGCGCTAAGTTGGATCTACTGTGTGAAGCCTAGCAGCCAGGAGACAACTGACTGCAACTGCTGCCTGCTGTCACAGACCCAAAATCCCATAAAATATTTATGAATCAAATGTACTTGGTCTAAAGTAAGAAAAAAGGGTGTAGACAGACTGGGTATCTGCACATGCAAGTCCCTCCTTGCACAGCTACACAAGGCACAGGAAAATGTCTTTTAGCTTTAAATACACCATCTCGCTAGCAGCCAGCCATTTCCCCAACATTCAGAAAAGGAATGCTTTCCAAGATTACTGTTAAGGTTGCATTTTACTTGCTTTATGAAGCTTATTTGGATATTAGAGTTTAAAACATTTCATACTGAATAATCTGGAGGAAACAGCTTGTGTGAGTGAGACAACTTGGATAGCTGCAAACTGTCAGCTCTGGCTGGAGCGTGGCTCTAAACCAGAGCTGAACCACTGCCTTCTCCATCTCACTCTCTGACCTATACCCTGCTGCTTCAAGCTCTGCAAGGCCGATCCTCAAGGCCAGACTAGGACAAAAAACTGCATATGCTGCTTCTAGCAGGATCTGGGCTCCGCTCCCCTGTTTCCCCATTCAGTGTGACTGCTATTACTCCTTTGACCCTGCAGATAAGCTACTGCTGAGAAGGAAAGGAGGAAACGGTACTTGGATGGATGAACGTAGGCAAGAATCTCCAATTAGTTCCTGTGAATGATGACAGAAAGCCAAGGAGATAGTAAGGCATGAAAAATGAGGTGTGTTAAATACACTACTTAAAGGACAAAACCCAGCTCCTTTGGGGTGGTGGTAGTTTAGAAAGACACAAGCCTGGAAAAAACCACTAAAACAACCAGAACAAAACCCCAAAACCTCAAACACAATAATTCAAGTTCATGAGTCTAATCACAGCACACTTTCAGGGAGCTGGGTTTTTTTCTGTATTAGAAGTGTATACTCTTCCCTTCCATCAACACAAAAGATTATTTTGCCTTGATGCCAAAGCTTTTATTTTATTAAAACTGGTTAAAACAAGCTTGTCAGAAGAAAAGGAGCAAACATCATCTGGTTGCACAAGTTCTCAGGATGCTATTAATAAAAACATGGGAAGTTTACAAGCATTAAGAAAGATAACATTGGCTTTGTCAAACTGTAGATAAGAACTACTGCTTCTGGGCACGCTTTATCTAGAGCAGTGATTTAAGGTCTACTCAAGAACCCAAATATGAAAAACTATGTATGGGAATTACAAAGCAGCATTGCAGATACATGGTCCTTTATGGTGAAAGTTTTTGCAAAGCTTCTCGTTTCCCAAGAAAGCAGGTTCGTTTTCCTGTCCAACTAGTCTTTGCAGGTTACGTTTGCTATTGCTACGTCAGCTGGGGTCCCTAATATCTTATTTGAAACTAGATTCTTATGCTAAGTGGCTGAACCAAGGAACAGGTTGCTCAGCAACCAAAATGCCATATGCATGTATACCAGCCATTTTCTGCTTCACGTTCCTCCAGAAGTGCACTGCCGGAGTATGAATACGTTATCTTAAAAGGTTTGCAACCAATTCCACTTACATTAAAACTAAAGCCTTTTGAAGGGGTGCTTCTTCAGGAGAAAGATGAAGAGCTTCAAAGATGAGCAGAGAGAACTGAGCCTGGGCAGGTTACTGGGAGAGGGGCCACTGCAAGCCAGAGCCTAGAAGCAGGTTTTGCAGTAACACGCTGCGGCATCAAGCAGAATGAGACCTCTGCAGACCACAGGACAGCTGCTGCAGGAATTCATGAAAAAACAGGCCTGAGCAAACTTTATCTGTGACTTGCTTTCTCTCCTTAAGCTGCACTTGGGAACAGTGTTGGGGGATAAATATCTGGAATTTTAACAGTGATGAAGTGGAACCATTTCCCATTTGCACACCTATAATTTGGAAGAAGCACTTTCATCCTTGGCCCAAAGCCCCTAGAGCCAAAAGCTGCGACTTGCCATCTCAGGGGTTTATTTTTAGTTGTGGCAGTGACTGCGCACCTTCCCTACAGAGCCAAGAGACCGTGGTCACTGGGACATGGCACCTGCATCTCAAATAGCTGCCAGACTGCCGCAGCAAAGGAAGGGATGCCAGAGCCACTCAGCTGGCAACACGGCCATGAAGCCCAAGCAGGAGCAAGCATGAGCCTGGCTGGTGCTGAGGCAGCACGGCAGCTTTCCTCCCAAATTCTAAAGCAAAAGAAATAACCTTTCTTCCTCTTTGCTATCACATGAGTCACCGCGTTCTCAGGCTTTAAAGAAACGACTATTTTTAGCAAGCTGCAAAAGGAGGCTGTTTTATTTGAGAATGGAGCCACTAGCTGGCGGGGCTGATCGAACAGCTGGTTTGGGAAGTACTTCCGAATACCCATGAATGCAGAAAGCACAGGCAAGAAGCAAGTGCTTGCACTGATGCGCGTGTACGGGTGCTTCTTACACACGTGGCGCAAAAAAGCTAACTCATTCTTAACTCGACGTCAAGGTGCTCATGCTGTGACTGGGAAAAAAAAAAAAATGACCAGAAAGAAATATTTTGCACCTCAAGAGGGAATTTTGCAAGCCATGGCAACGCTGCCACTCATGTCCCTGTGAACTCCTAGAGCTGTGGAAGGGGCTGGGAAACATCCACCAAGGGGCTCAGAGCCTCCACTCTGACAAAAACTGCCACTACTATAAAGACAAGAGGATAATAAACAGCACTAGATCAAATATAAATCATAAGGGCATCCCGAAATTAGCTTCTCCTGAGGAACAAAGTCTTTTTCTTAAAAAAGTGGGATTTTTTGGGGGGGGAAAGGTGATATGTATGTGTTTCTTATTTATTACACCTTTTCTTCTATTATAATCTACAAGCAATTTTGCTACCATCTAGCATTTCTAAGGATCTTTGTTATTAAATTCAGTGATGTATCTCTTTGTAACACACATTATCAGCTGTGGCAATAATCTAGAGTCAAGTCCGTCATTGGGACACCTACATGGAGATGTGTCCTTTTCTACAAGGTGCCTAAACTTTTCCAGCAGAAAGCGAAAGCAAGGTGCAGTGTCATTCAAAACAGGAGCTGAGTGCCATTCAAGACTGCCTGGAGTCTCCTGCTCGGCATCCAACCACTGCCCCAGAAGGGAATGGGCTTCCCATAGGTACGTACAGCGTCTGCCAGTCCCTACGGATGCCCTGGATACCCTTAAGCATCCTAAATGGTATTTAATGCAGATGTTGGGCTCTGTGGCACTGGTCACAGCACCTGGAGTGCAGTTTGGGTTACCACAAACCTAGTGACTGACTGGTGAGCCAGGTTACCTGCTGGGCTTTGCTGGGTGCACTGGGTGTTTGGACACTGAGGGTGGGAGTGGAGAACTGGGTTTAGGACTCCCTGTCTGGGGTTCAATTTCCCCAAAGGAATCGATTTTGTCCCCGTCTCAGATTTACCTTACAGTTCTCCAAAACACACCGGTTCAATCTCATGGACTTGATGCTACCGAGCTCACTTTTGGTTTTCGGCACACACAAATGCCTTGGATTTTAGTTCACA